TCATGTTTCTTTGACATAACATAGTTGTGTGTCTTTAACATAATGGAATAGTTTTGAGTACACATGTTTTTAATGTGTGCAACCGGTTTTCATACAGCTTTCCAAATAAAGTGTATGATGAAAATTTTTGTTTTTTGTAAGTCACAGAATCTGGTAAGTCACTATGTTAAACTTAAATATAAAATATGTTCATGTACAAGTCATACATCAGAGATACAGAAATCATAATAACAAGATGTTTTGAGACAAATGTAACATATTTACATATCGATGTTTTTAATGATAGAAATAAAAGAAAAATATTGTAACCAATGCATGGTCTAATACCCAATGGTAAGCTAACATGAGGTTTCTGATTCAAATCAAATGAAATCAAAAAATGTTTTATATTAACACACAAGTAATCATATATCTCCCTATTTTAGAAAGCTATATGCAATCATTTTTATATTGCACACTAGTGATGGACACCGTTGGAGTGGTCCAGATCATAAGAGGAAGAAAATACAGCAAACTTCAAATGTGGGCATTTTATTTAAAATCTTCAATATTCATTTGATATGCAATCACATCCACAACAAGGCATGCTGCCCTGCCTGGCACACAGAGCAACTTAGCCACCACCTTAAGGTGCAACCAAAACAGGGGTGCTATTAAGTTAACCTATTTCTAATTCATACATAAAAACAAAGCAACCAAACAGAAATCTAAATCATGTTACAGATATTCAACATGTACAAGCGGCCGAGATGGGTTTTCTCCGCAGGGTGGCTGGTGTCTCCCTTAGGGATAAGGTGAGAAGCTCGGTCATCCGGGAGGGACTCAGAGTTGAACCGCTCCTCCTTCGTGTCGAAAGGAGCCAGTTGAGGTGGTTCGGGCACCTAGTTAGGATGCCACCTGGGCGCCTCCCTAGGGAGGTGTTCCAGGCACGTCCAGCTGGGAAGAGACCAAGGGGTAGACCTAGGACCAGGTGGAGGGATTATATCTCTTCGCTGGCCTGGGAGCGCCTTGGGATCCCCCAGTCAGAGCTGGTTGATGTGGCCAGGGAAAGGACATTTTGGGGCTCTCTGCTGGAACTGCTACCTCCGCGACGCGACCACGGATAAGCGGGAGAAGATGGATGGATGGATGGATGGAACATGCAACATTCGTTTTCATGTTGTACTGTTTCTTATTCAGCTTTAAACTGAATCTGAAGCTTCTGCAAAGACTCCCTCTGCTCGTGATTCGCCCTGTAGACTGCACAGCTGTGGAGTGGAGGTGGAGCCACCTGCAGGGACTGAAAGTGAATCAACTAAATAAACTCAGATATCAAAAGAGCCAATAAGCATAAAACATTGTTCCAATAACATTATTGTTTGAGTAATGACAAAGATATGCTGACCTCTCCTCCCAACTGGACACAGAACTGGACGTGACTCAGGATGTTGCTCTCCTTGTTTGAGGTGTTAGTCCAGCTTTTCCTGCAGAGATAAAAAACACTTTCCAGTTTGAGTTCAGACACTTTATTATACGAGGAGTAGCCATTCTGACTGGTATTTGCTTCAAAGGCCAATCCAGCTGCTCGGACCTACAGAACATAGCCATGATTTAAAGTGATCTCTTGGTTCAAATCTGTTTTATATGGCTAAACTATTTATATTTTACAGTCCAGGATGCAGGATTTGTGTGGGTACTGTATGTGATCAGATTAGAAGAATGAAGGTTCTTGCAGTTAATTGGCTAGATAATTAACTGTCCAATATCTTGTAAATGTTCTTTATTCAAGTTTAGGGTTTATTTAACACTTGTTTGGACGCCCATAGTGGGTTTTATAAAACTGCAAACTCAAGCAGATAGAATGTCTTTATTAAAAAATAAAACCACTTAGCCAAAAAATAGCAAAAAAATGTAAGGATCTTGTTCAAACAACACACTTTACACGTTATAATATAAAATAAGCAAATATTTGTTGAAACGGGGACAACACTTGACGGTTTGCATTTCAGACATTTTGAGTCGTCAGAGCACGAGAAGCACAGTTTGAAAAACATGATGGCTGCTTTTTATTTAGGTGAGCCAGCTCCTGAGCTCTGCGTGTGTGTGACTTGAGGAATAGAGCCATCATTAACATTAGTTACACCTTTACTTTTCCTGCTTTGAGAAGTCCAAATGTTTGCCAAGAAAAGAGTTGGTGCAGTAATCGATCAACGTCATCAACAGTTCAAATTATGCAATGGCATTTTACTGGAATGAGTATTAATAATATTTCAGTAAATCCAGAAAATATGTAAACGTCTCACATTGTAACTAGAGCACGGGACGACAAAAGGTGGAGGAAGTCATTGCAAATATGAAGAAAAGGTACATTACTTAGAACATACATAAATGTAGCTCTAGTAAAAAACTATTACTCACCTGAAGAGGCAGACAGCTGAAGTGAAAACACACAGCAATCCAATTACAGCTGAGAGTGTGTAAAACCACAGTGGATCGACTCCTGCACAAATCACACGTGAATTAATTTCAGTAACATACGGCATGTCTATGGTGTATAAATTATTAGCCCTACTTTGTGCTCAACATACCTTCAGGTTCCCCGTACACCGTTAAATTCCACACAATATATCCTGTACCACTTAGCAGAGCTACATCACATCTATAGAGTCCTGCATCGTCACGCTGAACATTAGA